AAGAACGTCGAATCTGAATCACTTGAAAAAAACACGGGGGTGCTTAACTTGTACACACACATACAAGGTATAACAGCCAAAATCTACAGTGTGTTCAGCAAACATAATTTTTTTTCTGCTTCAAACCAGCTAACAAAATTCAAACAATACTTGTTAGTAATAAAGATAAAAAGTGATATCTTAGATATAAACAAGTTATATATGAAATTAGGTTTGAATTTAATTAAAAAAGTTAGTTTTAATCACTTACTGAACACACTTTGAAATGGGTCATTCAATATAATGGCATAAAACAATATTAAATGAACTTAATACTCAAAGTATTAATAGAATAAGGAGAAATTGTGCTGTAAATTAAGTAATTGTTTACTACATACAAATATATCTTTTAACAAAGTAATAGAATGACTTATTGAAACTTCAAAAAGTTAAGCATCAACACAAAATATATTTAAGTATAAAGCTAGGAGGTTTTTATGTGGTTTTCTATAGTGTAATAAAGAAGGCTGTTTTTTTAGACCTATAAATTCTCATATAGGTATTTTTAATCATGAATTTGGTGAAGTTTCTTTTGCAATAGCTACATAATGAATAGGCCCCCAGTGGCACAGCAGTATGTCTACAGACTTACAATGCTAGAATCAGGGTTTTGATACCTGTGGTGGGCAGAGCAAAGATAGCCCATTGTATAGCTTTGTGCTTAATTACAAACAAACAAACATAAGGAATATAGGATTATATATACATGGATCTTTCTAATGAAATACAATATTTTCAGTTTGATAAGAATGTCAGTTTTTCATGTTTTGGTGTAGAATGTTTGAAGAGGTATTAAACGAACAGCATATCATTTTAAGAAATTAAGATTTTTTATGTTTTTTGTAACAGCATTGTATATGATCAGACAAACTGATGGAATTGTAATGGGATCAGAGTTAGCACCATCACTTGCCAACTTATTTTTTTAGTTACGAGGAAAAAGTATTAGTTGGAAATCTTCCTTTGAATATCATAATGATCTAGAACATATTGACAAGTTTTTGAAATATCTTAATAATCAACAAAATAGTATAAAATCCACAGTAGAACATCAACAGGAACATTAGCTTGCTTTATTCGATACATTAATAGACAGTAATAATTACAAGTGTACAATAATTAAAAGAATGTTTACTAGCTTATGTTTTAATTTTGGCATCTTCATTTCAAAATTGTGCTAAATAAATGTTAATTAAGATGTTCATTTCTCATGTTTATAAGATCTATAATGTTCAGCCCTATGGTCAAGTGCACATATCAAGACCTTGTACAGAATAGTGCCATTCAGCAGGGTATTATGAATTTGGTGTCAAAGTTATCAACATTTCTTCTTACCCTACCTTGCTGATTTTGTGTTAAGAGTAGCGAAAACACCATAAGCATTGTACAGGGATACTGAGAAAATATATATATATACATTTAGAATGTTTGAGAGGCTGTGCAAATGCAATATGCAAATTTTATGATGGACAAAAGTATTTTTTACCTTCATATGAGTAATCTGAGGAGTGTGGGTTCGAATACCCGTACCGCTAAACATGCTCCCCCTTTCAGCTGTGGGGGCATTATAATGTGAGGGTCAATCCCACTATTCCTTGATAAAAAGAGTAGTCCAAGAGTTGACAGTGGGTGGTGATGACTAGCTGACCTCCCTCTAGTCTTACACTGCTAAATTAAGGACAACTAGTGCAGATAGCCCTTCATATGAACATCACCTTGTTCTCTGACTTGTGAGAGTCCGAGTCAGGCTTATGCCATCAACTCACAGATATGTCTTGTATACAAATACTTCTATAGCTAAAATTTTTTTTTATTTTTTTTTTTTTATGTACAACAGACCTGTAGTGTTTACTAACAATTTGCCATAGTAATGTACATAGTAAGTTTGATATTAGAGTAAACATTATCCAATATGGAGTCAGTCTATTGGTACAACCCCGTGCACATTCATTTAATATCTTCATAAAAAAGTTTCAAAACACAGAAAAGTTTTCTAACAAAGAATGGTCTTCCATTTAAATATCATACATGATTATTTAGATAAATCAAAAGTTCTAAATACTTATAATGGAATGCTTCTAAACAGTCTTTTTAAATATATTGGTAATCATCTTATTATAATGAAGCAATGGTGTGGCTGTCTATATATATATATATATATATACACAATAGTGCCATCTGTTTTTAAGAAATAAAACTATTTCAATGCTAAAAGTGGTGGTGATAGAGATTTAATAAATGTGGCGCCATCTATTGAATGGCACTACAAACAGAGGTCGATAAAAATTTTGTATTTTGGGTATTCAGATAATTAGAATAATAACTATAGTATGTGCAACAACAATTTTTTTTTTAATAGAACACAATTGTAAATAAAAGTACTCTTCTCACAACAAAAACACGACTTTCACTAGGACAGTACTTGAGGGTTTGAGTATGTCTTTATTGTTGTAATTTTTAAATGTAGTACTAAAAATCTGGAGTTCTTATACTTATTTTTTCCGTAAAGGGTAGCACTTTTAATATATAAAAACATTACAGTTTATATCAGTAAAATGTATGAAAATTTTGAGCTCTGTACATTGAATCATTTTGATGCAATGAGTTGTGCATGACTAAAGAGCACAATCCGAACACTTTTCCCATGCAGTACTTCCCAGAAAAAAAATACTTTTTTAGAAAGTGTTCACGTTTTTTCAACTTTTTACAATGAGGTATGAATACTGCAATAGTTAATTACTAGCACAAATAGCCACCTGTAGGGTGATATTTCTGCTAGTGTATTCAATTTTGTATAGCTTTTCTACAGACTGTATTTAAACCTGAAAGTAGATTACAATGATTTTTTTCAGATTCAGATACAATATATCCTATTTGTAAACATCTGATGCTGTATGAAATTCAAATCTTTTAGGTATACTGGATAAACAACAATATTTTTAAAAACATGCATATTTGATATATGATGACATGCTTAGAGAATGTAGAGTAACAGTTCATTTACAATTCTTGCAATAAGAAGTGAAGTGATGAAAGAGGACTGTATAAGAGAGATTGTCTTAATTAATAAATTAAGGTCCTAACTCAATGAAATAATTCATTACTTAATTGATTGTGATTGCTATAAATAAATATATATGTATATAATTAATTTTTGTCATCTATGCTTTCATTCCTTGGATCTGAGAATTAAGACATATTGAACTGTACTAGCTAGATAAAATCAACATTAAAACATAGATTAGTATTTTATTTATTTTTGAATAATGTTTTACATTTTCCTTCAGTGTGTGCCAATCCTTGGACGAGGGTTTGACATGGGAGGCTACAAGTGTGAATGTAAACAAGGTTATGAATATCCCTTCAGCGATCCTGTCACCTACTTTGATGGGCAGATTGTTGAAGCAGAATTTCAGAATTTGGTAGATAATAAGCCAAGTCGGTTTGACACCTTGAAGTGCCGACTTGCCTGTGCAACAACACATTCTGTTAATTCAGTCATTATTCTTTTTGTTATTTTAGTTCACACATTATTCACTCAAAGTAATGTTATTTTTAATCATTGTTATTAATGACATTTTAAAATCAGTCAAACTCATAAAGATTGTGTAGTAAAATCTCCCCATTTTTGTTTATTATGACAACAACAGATGGAATAGTGGAAGGGTTTTTAGTAGAGGTAAAAAATAATTCAGTTTGTGTTTTTTGTTTAGCAAAAGGATCTTTCTTGGGAATATTTTTATACATGATGTTTTTATAGTATAGAATAAGAGATTTTACTCATCACTTTTAATGACTTCTTTTAAAATATAAACCTTTTGTAACAAAAAGTGATGCATATGTCCGTCCATATTTTTACAATTTTGTGTTGTAGATCTGTTTAAGTAATGTGATATTATACAAATACAACTTGTATGCTTTATACTTTAGAATTATGGTGATGGTTACATGTACACTTTTTATATGCTTAAGTGTTATAAGAATTTCAAAAGATCTAGGCAGATTTGAAATTGTGTATGTGTGTAAACAGCCACTATTTGGGATAACAATTTAACCACTTATCTTACAAGAGATAAAAAGACAAATAACGTGATAGTAGAGAAGTTCATTCTTAAACTGATATCACAATAAATATAAAAGATTTTCTATGTGGTAGATTTATAGGTATTTTAATGTCAAAACAATATTTTAGAATTGCACAGGCAAAGTCACTGTTTTATATAATGATATAATATGCACTGTTAAATTTTAATTCACTTCAGTTTTCTTTCTTCTTATAGTTGAGGATATATAAATTTTATAAAAACAAAATGGTTCAATGAATTTTGACAAGTTTATCTTGTTACATTTATCTTTCATGAACTCAGTTATATGCCTCAAATGCAGGCTGAAGTGATATTAATGGTAAACATTTACAAAATAAAAGTTAAACAGTACTGTATACTTTATGCTACACATTTTTATGCTGCAAATGTTAATTTTTTATATGCGACAGGGAAATATGTATGTACTCTATTCAGAGACTAATCTGGAATAATCTACCCTATCAAACAAAGAAATGTAGTTCATTATGATGAATGTTCACTGGCAAGAAAACAATTATATAAATTCAAGTTTCGTTTTTGTTTTCACTTAGTGAAAATATTTGATTATCCACAAAAGTTGCTGTATTACCTGAATGAAATAAAAACTTGTTTTAACAGTTTGTTTAAGTTTATTGTTTGAATAAGAACAAGTCCAAGTTGCTTCACTTTATAACTACATTTCTCTTGCATGTACAAATAGAATGAAACAAAAGTAAACCTAAAATCATAAATAATATTCAACGTTAAACTGTGACGTCGAAACATGTAGAGTCGTCAACTTTTTGA